AAATTAAGGCAACTCAATAATAAAGGTTAAACATATTTTCCTTTTTTTCATTGATTTAGATCGTCGAAGATTGGAAATTCGTCTCGATGGTGTTGGATCGATTCTTCCTTTGGACATTTACGCTCTCGTGTGTCTTCGGCACGTTCGCTATAATCTGTCAGTCGCCATCATTATATGATACTCGTCAACCGATCGATCGACAGCTCAGCGAAATACCATTGAGGAAGAATAATTTTATGTTGCCGCCAGATATTGTGCGCCAAATTGTTACTTAATGCGCTTTTGTTCTAAGAAAAATAAAGTACAGTTTGTCAAAGTATCAAGTACTTAGTATGTAAGTGCAGTAAACAGAAATATATTGAAATGTAAAAGCCATAAAAGATGTTGGTTTAAGTTCAGATCGAGAAGGTCAAAAGAACTTGTAACTGAATAAATCACATACACAAACAACAAAACAAAAGTCGTGAATTTTTCTTTACTAAATAAAAACTAACTAGTGAACGACAGCCAAAACAAAACTAGAATGGCATTCATATTCCCAGAGTAAAATTAGGTTCCGGAGTCCAGGTATAGACTTCATTCTTTTATATTGCTTCTTGACTGCGGCCGCCGCTGTGGAGTAGGGATTAGAAGTGCCATTCCACAGGGCCTGGGATCGAGCCCAATTTCCGACTAACATCAAAAACATAAAGCTTACAAAAAGTAACAACTTCAAAAATATGAAACACAAATGAACTAGAAATCAAAAAAATTTATTTTTAAAACTTAAGTATCTACTTAAGAATTATCAAATGATGTAATTAAACGTATTTGAAGTCTATGCACACTTTCCGTGTGCCTACAGCTCGGGTGAATACTATTTACCTACGCACTCCTGATGTGGGTATGTATTATCTTCTACTTGCAAGTAGGCTTTGTATATTAGAGAATGAATTTCATAAAGTATTTTCTTAATGTATATATGTATGTACATATCTACTTCTTCTTCTTTATTGGTGCTGTAACCGCCTAAGCGATTTTGTCCGAGTCCAAAATAGCACGGCAGTCGCTTCTGTTCTGTGCCAATTGATATTGGAAATGCCAACCAAGTCCTTCTCCACCTGGTCTTTCCAACGCAGAGGAGGCCTTTCTATTCTTTTGTTACCAGCACTGCGTTGAATACTTTCAGATTTGGTCTAGCCGGCGGAGCCCCTGAATTTTAATTCGCTACACTATGTCTATATCGCTGTAAAGCACATGCAGCTCATCGTTCAATCGTCTGCGGTATTCGCCATCGCCAACGCGTAAAGGTCCGTAAACTTTTCGAAGAATCTTTCTGTCGAAAACTCCAAGACCATCTTCATCAGTTCGGAAATGTTTCTTTTCATAATGAAAAATATTAAAATACTTTAATAAGGTATCCAACAATAAATTGGATTATAAAAATAAAAATAAATTTCTGAACTAGATTTCTAAAAAGAGACTCTTTCATAATCTAAATCCGGACTCCCTACTTGTAACAGTCAACAGTGAAGTGGGTGCCAGGACGCTTATGCTCTGAGTGTTTGTGTGCTACAGGAGATACTTAGGGTTATCCTCGTTCACCAGCAGACCCATTCGCTTTGCTTCTCTATCCAATCCCGAGAAGGCAGAACAGACGTAGCCCTTGTTTTTACCGATAATATCGATGTCGTCGGCATACGTCAGCAATTGTATGCTCTTGTAAAGTATTGTGCCTGAGCGGTTCAGTTCTGCGGCTCTTAATATCTTCTCCAACATCAGATTAAAGAAATCACACGAAAGGGAGTCCCCTTGTCTGAAACCTCGTTTGGTATCAAACGGCTCGGAGAGGAGTTCGTGCTATTGCTTAACGTCATTTTACATAGCCATATTAATGTGTCGTGGCATAAAGACAACTTCTTTTCGTGCAGTCGAAAGCGGTTTTGAAATTGACAAATAGCTGGCATGTATCGGTCCTAATCTTTTGAATCTTTTCTAAGATTTGGAGTATTGCGAAACATGATCTATGGTGGATTTGCCAGGTCTAATGCCACAAGTGAAATACCAATTTTTTACTAAAGAGCTATTGTATATATCAATTTTGAATAAATATTGCTGAATTGCCTTGCCACACTGCTCAAATAATCTGAGACTCTGGTACATACACGCGTATAAATGCAATAATAACATTACTTGTTTGTTTTTTATTGATAATTTTACGTATAAGTCTTTCATTGTGAAAAATTAAAAAAGAAAATGGACGAGTATTTGTGTAATGCATGAATACGTAGTATGTAGTTATGTATTTCGAGTAATTACGCTGTCAATTCGATTCTTTCGTCAGACTTCTGATTTATAATTGTATTGGCCTAATAGCCATATGGACATATTTTAGCGAGTATTCATGGCCATGCCAGTGAGTCCAATCAATGCCCTTGCCATATTTGTCCTTACTGTATTTGCCACGTAAGTATTGACCATTCAAGTTGCTGGTAGAAGATTAAAAAAAAAAAAACAAATTTTGTAATATTCGTGTTATATTTTGCATTGAAAAATTAACTTCAAAAACACTCACCTATCATGGCATGCCTTGTACCACCATGCGCCTGTATACTCCACAGCACAATTACGATCCCACATATCGTGATCCGCATCTTTGGTGCTAAATTTTTGGCCCTGACTCGAACGCAATGAATCACCGGCGTTACCTTCGAATTTGCCTAGCACGTTCAATGCATACGCTTCGTGCTCATCACCGATTGCGAAATTTTCATAGCGTGCATAACGCGTCACATTCTCGAAGTCCTCCATCTGCACCCAGAGTTCGTTGAGGCGCGCATGCGTCAGTCCATGCAAACGTTCCAAGCCGATGAAAAATTCACCATTCCAGTTACCAAATCCTGCCTGATATTCATGCCACTCGCGATTGAAGGTAATGGAACCGTCCTGGCGACGCTGCACCACAATCCAAGCGGGACCACCATTCGCATCCAGCTGGCAGTAGGCGTAGAATGGTTTCAGTCCCGAATCTGGCAGATAAAGTTGATAGATGCCGCTCTTGGCATTAACGCCCGCACTTTCAACCGCTTCTGCGCAAGTCGACGGTAGTGCTGGGCTGGAGTATGGGCACGGTGGCGCATATAAACTAGGCACCAAGGGGGTTTGCGTGCTGGGTGGAGGTATGGCGTTGCTGTTCGCTGGCAATTGATTTGAACCGCCAGCGGACGATGATTCAGCAATGGTGGGTAAGAGGTTTGAACCACCTGCAGAGGATTGCGAATCAGAGCTAGAAGCTGGCAAGTTGCCGCCAGCTGCAGACGATGCCGAGGTGAATGCAGGTAAGTTACCAGCGGTTGCAGAAGTTTGTGGACTGCACGCGGGTAGGTTGGCACCAGTCGCCGATGATTGCGAAATTACGCCCGGAAAATGTATGCCGCCAGCAGAGGAGGATTGTGTGGGCGGAGTGGATGCGCCTCCCTCGCCTTGCACGCGCACATCAATCCACTGCGGCGTCGATTTGACCTCCGGTAAACGTTCATCTAATAGCTTTTTTATGTGATCCAATCTGCAAAGAAATAATGTAAGTAAGTACATACATTGATATATACATACATAAGTACAGCAGAAACCAGTCAGAAGCAAGCCTTCGCTCAGCGTACACTCACCTCAAATTATATGTGTCCAACAGGAGGTAGACGTTCTCACTTGAAACCTTGAGCTGTGTTACTTGTTTCGCCACATTCCCCAGTAGCGCATCATCGCAGAGTGGTGTAAAAGTCTGGCAGAAAAAAGCAAATTAAAATGTGCAAAAAAAATACCAATTACAGGTGCCGAACAAAGCAAAAAAAATGCCGGTGCAAACACTTTACCTACCGCATTATTTGGATCCATTGAGAACAGCTGTTCGAAACTGGTTGGCTGTCCACCCGGTGACGGTCGTGGCGTTGCATCACTCAGTGTCATCAAAAGCAGCAGCAGCAGCAGCAGCGCTGATAAGAAAACCCCACCGCGCTGACGTCCACGCTGAAACTCAAGATGTGCCCACATTCTTATCGCTTTGCTTGTACGTGACTGATGCTGCGCCTATTGTTGTTGAAGATGCTGTTTCGCCACTGGTTGTCGTACAACTGCCGCTTGCGCTAAGTGCGGAGTGGCGCTTTATACTGCGTCATTTTGGTTTGAATGAGTGAGCAAAAGAGAGCTAAGAAGCTGTAAAGGCCGGTGATTTTTTAGCCAACCGCTTTGTTTGTATTTTGGACAAACCCGATTTTGTTTCCTCTTTCCAGATCGCGGGGAACAAAGTACTCGTACATATTGTGATGAATACAAAAGGTGCATCTGAAAGCATAAACAAAAATGTATGTACTTTTCTGTTAGCAACTAAATGTTCTTTGCATCTTAGGGGTTTTCACTAATATGGACAAAGCGTTGAAAGGCTGCCCTCTTTCAAAACCTTTGCTTTCTTCAATTAATCGTCAATATCTTTTATTTTTTCTTAGAGTACTTCACTGGAAAACTTTTTTCTAATCCTCGGTAAGCGATAGTGCATTTCTTTCATGAAAAATCGTTTCGTAAAAGGCATCTGCCATTTGGAGGCGGGGTAAAGCTGTAGATTACTCCAATTGGCATATAAAAACATTGCAATATTCACGGTGCCGGCTTTGTATTATATCTCTTTTGTACTCAATTTTACTGGTAATTTATGGAATTTGGGGCTAAAAGATATATGCACTTGATATGGGAGAAAAATTTGTTAAGTTTTAACAAACGCAAGACTGCCCTATTTTTGATCACTGGAATAGTGGAAGCATTCAAACGTGAACATATTTTTCTTTCATATTTCAACGTAAAGAAATAAAAAACCAGAGCTTTTTAAAACATCGCCATGGACGGATCGACGCGAAATTTAATTATTTTTATTAAAAAAAAAACAAACTTAAAATCGGTTCATATTTGGGTTCTCAAAATTCATTTGTCTCCAGCAACCTTTTTTGCCCCACTGTGCGGCGTATTATCGGCAAAAGAAAAAAAACAAAAATCAACACGATTTTTCAGCAAATTGAAACTTGCGTTTTATTATACAAAAATTTAAATGGATACCAAACTGAATACAAAAAATGTGTCTAGGAAATCTTTAAAAAGTATTAAAGAACCATGATTTGAAGGATTTTTCGAAACTTTAAGGCTATTGGGGAGACCATAAATGTTTTCGCATCGAAACACGGTTCAATGTGCTCATATAGCGCAACTCTTCGTACTATTAGAATTACCAAATCGAAAAATAGATTTTTTTGCTCCACTCTGGTGCACATACAAACATACTCACAATTGTAATTATACAATTAGATGAGTAAACGTTTACTTATTTATAACAAAATACTTACGAACTCACCCTTACCGCATACAGAAAAATCGTTTCTCCTACCACAGGCACAGATCTCCTAAGTGACGGGTTAATCTTCACCATGCATAGAGAGCTCAGTAAGACATCGTCCTTATTCTGGTCGCTCGTGATGGGCCACCTCTTGACGAAACAATAAAAATGTTAATTATGACCAATGATAGTAACCAACTGTAGATACTGACCCTGACCAGCGCCGGACACATCTTCCAGCTCGTAGTTTAAAGATGCTCTAGCCAACAATTTTTTATTTGTGAGCCATGTCACCCAGCTCGATGTATGCATATCTCTGAATAGCTCTGGCCTTACATCAGCCCCTATTATTCAATACATACCTAGCTGGCCGCAGCTGAGATACTACTCACCACCTTGCTATTGGGGGCTTGCATTGGCTCAATATGAGCTTGTCGAGGCATCTTTGTTACAGGTTTATGCGATATTTCTGCCCGAAGCGCCCCCTTTCCTACACTTGCTACTATTTGACTCGCTTGAAACTTTTCCTTTCCCTTCCTCTGGGTTAAAACCAAAATGGGATTTAGGTTGACTTTTGCGCGGCATTGAACCGATTTCGGTTAACCCAGAGCCCTCACTAATAGTGTCGAAAATCAACGTGCCACAGTGTTTGAGTTCGGAGAGGTTCGAGCCTTAGATCTCTAGCAGTTGAGCTCGACGAAAGTCGACAAAGCTAAAAATAATCGCCCTGCTAAATTTTCATCGACAAAATTCTCTAAACGAAAACAAGTGGTGCCTAAAAGTACACAACATGAAAAAGTAACATAAGCAATATGTAAACAGCCAAAGCTGGCAATATGAGGGGCATGTGACTAGATGTTGCATGTTCATAGGCGGACCTGATTTTTTTTGGAAATTTTTGGCGATCAAAAATAAGCGATAGCGAATGTAGAAATCCGGCTGCAGGTACCCATTTTGGCCATTCATCCATCTGAATATGTTTGTCCCCCCCTAGGGTTGGCATAGTTTGTGGGAAGAAGAGGTAGCTAGGGGGATAGTCCCAAGAGGGTTTTCACTCCTACTTTTACTAGCTAGCACTATATCCAGATACGGGGCAGTAGCTATAACCCGGACCCAGCCGCTTCCACGAGAGGAGTGTAGTCGCACTTACGACAGTGCATGCGGGCGGAAGGTACCGCCTAGGGAGTGATGACCCCTTTCGCCTGATCACCTTACTCAAAATGATTAATTTGATAATTAGAGAAAAAGACAACCACCTCCTCTTCCACCCTACAAAGGGTCTCTGAATGAAGCCTTTACCATTTCTTTAGCACTTTGATCCATTTGACATTTAAAGATCAATTGTACTAATGTATACCTAAATGCAAAAGAATTAACTGCTAATAACATAGAGGTAACAAAGCAATTCACCATTAATTAAGTTAAGTAAGGCCCAAAGAAATGAAATGAAGATTTATTATACAAAAACTAATCAATGACTTCATGCCGTCTGATTCAAGTAACCCGTAAAGTATTCAACGCAGTTCAGTCTTTTCATTCAGACAAAGCATAACAAGACAATTTCTTAAAAAATGCAATTTTTTCACAATCCAACTGTGATACTCAGTCTGCTAGGCGTATCACCTATTTACCAACAATTTGGTAAAATTTTGAAGGATATCTGTTTGACCATGACAGAGCAAAGAGATACCAAGTAAGAATCATCTAAATGTGCCGAATATTTTACGAGAACTATGGACTAGAAGCCCTTTGCTGTGATCAACATCGATGTACTTACGCCCATTGAGCGCCATAGAGACCTATTCAATTATAACTTTCTCAGCATTGTGCAACTAAGTCAAAACGCACACACTTTTGGAGCGTTTACAATGGAGCAGCTTTTGGATGACATCGCCAGTGAGCCCTATGTGCATATGCCATTTCAATTATGTGCAGGGAAGGGAGGTACGGACGCCATTGCATTGCAGCCCCAAATGGCAGTGAGAGAATGCGAGTTTTGGGGTTTTCAAATATTTTATCACGCGGTTTTCGTTAGTCATATAAGGAATATGCACTGTCAATCATTGCGGCTCATAGAAAGGTGTTGGTATCCATAAACCTATAATTATACACCTGCCGGTAAGTCCCAAATAGTGAGAGGCTACACACGCCGAACCTTCGCTGAGTTTGCACGTGTTTTCAATGCCACGCTGCAAAATCCATTTGCTAGTTAGAAAATACCTTTTTTATCATTATGAAGTACGCGGTGCTCTAAAGAATGACAGCATAGAGGTTGGGTTACTTTCCCGTATCGAATTTGATGATATTATTTAAATTGAGTTCAACGATTGTGGTACACCGTACCGATTGATGTTTGATGGTACCAATGGAAAACCTTTTGCCGCCGAAATAATTAATACCTATGTCAGTTACATGTTCTGCTGGAAGGATCAGCGGCAGCAATTATACACCGACTACTTTATCAATATTTTGGTCCTCCAGGGCCACTAGGCATGACATTTTGGTTGAAAAGGCAGCTGTCAAGTACTCAGAAGTACATTTGCATTACCATTTCATTTGCGGGTGTAATTTTTGGCGGCGCCTAAAATGATTACTTACAAAGTTTTACTGTAAACGCACCCTTAGAACCGGAAATGAAAACTATTGAGGACGTTCTAAACCGTGGCATTAAGATAGCTGTGGGCACGAGCGATATATATTGGATTACCTACTTTGCAAATACGTCTTGATATATTAGTAACTTTACAATTTTCACCAACTATACAGAGTTGTTATTGCTGCGGAGTTCATTTGATGCACGCTATGCATTTATGGTCTCTGATATGTGGCCCATATACGTTGAGCAGCAGAAGTACTTCTCAAAAGCCATATTTTGCATTACGGATATCTGCTTTGGAAAGGATATGCCTTAAGTGTTGCCTTTGCCAATAAATTCGGTTTATCGCGGAACTTTGAATAAATTATTTTTGGTACTGCAGGAAGCTGGGCTAATAAATTTTTGGCAACGTCCCAATTTTGTAGAGTTGACGGCCATGGATGTAATTACATGGGAGAAATCCCAATAAAAATCCTGGTTTCGAGCCAATGAAGTTGGATGACCTTCTGGGAGAAAATAAGAAATGTTGGACGTTCTACTGTTTCCGCTATAAAAATGACTTGGAATTTGGTAAAAAATTCATGTCAAAGAATTTGAATGAATACGAAGTTATTGATTTAATTAGCCTAATTTCAGAACTGTGCTAGATAAGCGGCTAAGATAGTTACAGGTCTTTTGAAAGACAATTGAAGCAAAAATACAGTCGTCTATAAAGCACACTTAGCCTCGAGGCCCATTGTGATGCCCCATGTGGGGTCAGATACTCCCAGCCCCTCCTAAAGCCATTTTGAACTTCGCCGGAATTTAAGAATATTTGTGATTTCCACAATTCCAAGGTTCTCCAAGGTATTAAAAAATTGTGTTCCCTATGAGGAGTATGTTAGCCTGAACTGAACAGGACACTAATAGAATAGGTTAAGAATCATTTCCTACTTTTCTTCATGTTCCCAACCTCTATAGAAGTGATGCAATCGAACGCCAAGTCAATAGGAAAGCTTGCCAACTAGGCAGTGTCCTGTTACTCCACATGCAAGTTCTTGAAAGTTTTGCACGTGATTTCGTCGCTACCTTAGCAAGCCTCTCCGAAATAAGTAGTTGCCAAGCTTGTAAGGGTATTCCAATTTCATCGTTCATATCATCAATGGTGAGTTTGGTGCCAAGTCGCGCCAGCTGATTGGCCTTAC